ACAGAAACCCACACACAAACATACACACACTCGAATACACACTCAGACGTACACACACATAGACACACATACACACACGCACTGGAGGACAGGAGAGTTAGGGGAGACATGATAACTACATACAAAATACTGCGAGGAATAGATAAGGTGGATAGAGACAGGATGTTCCAGAGATGGGACACAGAAACAAGGGGTCACAAAAAGAAGTTAAAGACTCAGATGAGTCAAAGGGATGTTAGGAAGCATTTCTTCAGTCATAGAGTTGTCAGGAAGTAGAATAGTCTGGCAAGCTATGTAGTGGAGGCAGGAACCATACATAGTTTTAAGACGAGGTATGATAAAGCTCATAGAGCAGGGAGAGAGAGGACCTACTAGTAGTCAGTGAAAAGGAAGGGCCATGAGCTGAGTTTCGATCCTTGCAGCCACAAATAGATGAGTACAAATACGTGAGTGCACACACACACACACACACACACACAGGCGAGTACACTCACATATACGCACAGGTAAGTACACTTACACACAAACACAGCAGAGCTGTAATATATTTCAACAATGCTCCCTGAATTTCAGTATTTATGTGCGTTTCCCAGAAGCTTTCCAGTGGTCAATGTAGGTGAGTCAGTGAACAGTTCCACTAGCGTATAACAAGTTCCCAAAATCTGAAAAGTGTGGAGGGGACCACAATTTTAAAAGTTTGAAATTGCTGTTATTTGGAAGAAGCAATTAGGGCCAGCTAGTCCTGGTATCAGGTACCTGGTACCTGGTGTTGACTCAAGGGGATCATAATTACAGTAATGCCAACAGTTTAAGGTGTGACCTCAAAACAGAAAAATAAGTGCGAATAATAGGGAAAGAAAACGGAAAAAAATGGTAGCCAATATGCATTTTACTTTTGTCAATGGTGAGTTGAAAGGAGCGTGTATAACTGGACAGTGAAATGTTAATATCTTGTGACTATCTGGACAGTGAAATGTTAATATCTTGTGACTATCTGGACAGTGAAATGTTAATATCTTGTGACTATCTGGACAGTGAAATGTTAATATCTTGTGACTATCTGGACAGTGAAATGTTAATATCTTGTGACTATCTGGACAGTGAAATGTTAATATATAGTGATCGACACCTTCTGTTGAACTGTTCATCTAGTTAATCCAGTTTATGGCTATAAGACCAGTAGGAATTTCAAGGTTGATGGGTTTTCCCATCAGATCCTGTTAGGACATGCGTAAATAATGGGGAAAACCGTGGGTAGACATGTGGCATCCCGGGTTATAAAATTTATAGGACGCCATTTTGTTTTTTGCACATACGTAATTTTCATTAAATCTATACCAAATCTGACATAGTTTTTGTATAAGATAAGAATATTTTGAAGGTAATAAAAAGTTTTCCACATTTTTGGCAGTGTAAACTATTTGAGATGTGATTTGCTGTTATAGTAAAATGGTGGCTCCTTCGACTCATCACGTGACCTGAGGCATATGACAGGTTCAGGAAAGGTCATTTTCTTATAAGGAATATATGACCAGTTTAATGCCGTGGATGTCAACATGGCACTCGAACAGTCAATCAACCGATCTCAGAAGTCAGGGAGGGATCATTGGCCAAACCGAAATACAAGACTACATTGCTGAATGGGAGCCTCCTTACCTTGGAGTCCTCCTGAACATTACACTGGTTGATTAAGAACTGCTAATGCTTCATCAGCTAACATGAAGCCTCAGAAATAGAAAGGAAGCCAATATCCAACAGATACTCCAGTTTGTTGAAAAAGAGGAGCGCCAAACCTTGGACAAAGTGAAGCTAATCTTCAAAACATTCTAACCAATGAATGTGTTCCAGCATTTGATGTTAAGATGTTCCAATTGTGGCTACAGCAAAACAGTTTTCTCCATGTTTTGAGAGGAAAGAACCACTATCAACACGTATTCACAAGCAAAAGCTCCCCACTTTTCTAAGTGTAGCACAGCCAGGTATGTAAACAAAAACAGAGTAATGCCATCAAATGTCATTTGAAGATTTAGACAAAAGTTGATATACATAAGAAGACAGGAAAGACAATGACAGAAATTCTTTCTTACGATGTTTCACATTTATCTTTATTAGATGAGAATGGTGCTACTACCAAACCCATGAAGTCTCAGCTCATGTCTGAGTTGACAAAAAAAAAATACGTATTGCAAACAGAAATTTCCAAAAGGAGCATACCCTGACAACCAGTATTGTTTACTTGGACTTACCTGCAGAGGGTTTCAGGGGTCAACGCCCCCGCGGCTCGGTCTGAGACCAGGCCTCGTAAGGATCAGGGTCTGATCAATCAACCAGGCTATTACTGCTGGTCTCACGCAAAAATGGGCGTACGAACCACAGCCCGGTTGATCAGGTAATGACTTTAGGTGCCTTCTTCAAGACAGTCAAGGGTCTATTGGTAATCCCGCTTATGTATGCTGGGAGGCAGTTGAACAGTCTTCGGCCCTGGAAACTATTGTCTTGCCTCTCAGTGTACTCGTGGCGCCCCTGCTTTCATTGGGGAAATGTTGGATCTCCTGCCGAGTCTTTTCCTTTCATAGGGAGTGATTTCGTGTGCAAGTTTTGGGACTAATCCCTCTAGGATTTTCAAGTGTATATGTTGTTGATTTTATGAATTAATTTCGAGGAATGCCAGTTAAAGGAAACAACACATTTGAAGACATGTTTACAACTCTTTCCAATAATGAGAATAATCGGAAATTCAGTCGTTTTGACTATATTTTTGATAGTCACCCCCAGTCATCAAACAAAAAAAGCTGAGAGAGAAAGAAGGTCTTTTGTGGAACCATTACCGTTGACTTTCATTGCTACCAATACGAAGCTTCCTGTGCAGGGTGGCAAGATATTGGGAGTCAGTTAACAACAAAAGTTTAAATCAAGATACTCTCCGAGAGAGTATCTGGCCCGGTGGCCTGGTGGCTAAAGCTCCCGCTTCACACACGGAGGGCCCGGGTTCGATTCCCGGCGGGTGGAAACATTTCGACACGTTTCCTTACACCTGTTGTCCTGTTCACCTAGCAAACAAATAGGTACCTGGGTGTTAGTCGACTGGTGTGGGTCGCATCCTGGGGGACAAGATTAAGGACCCCAATGGAAATAAGTTAGACAGTCCTCGATGACGCACTGACTTTCTTGGGTTATCCTGGGTGGCTAACCCTCCGGGGTTAAAAATCCGAACGAAATCTTATCTTATGTTAAGTGGCGTGTTGTTTGAAAGTGGACCCACCGGCGGTACCATGAAGAGGCAAACTTCACAACAATCAAGTATCTGTAGAGGAGTCTAACTTACGTTTAATTCCTCACGTTTTCCACGTGGTTAACAAGGCTGGAGCTTTCTTGTGCTTTCCAACTACGCAGACGTTTTTGTGATATTCATTTCTGGAAGTTTCGTCATGAGAAAGTCGGTATCAAATATCATATCAATCCATACTCTTGAAGAAAAGATTGTTCCAACAACAGTTGTCCTTCTTGCTTGCCATTATCTCACATTATTTTGATGTGACCGTAAAGACAGGCATCCCAAAATATCATCGCTCAATGCACGACCAGAAAAATATCTGCGCAACTTTGGTCGCGACTACCCCCCCAAGTACTCAGTCCTTCATGCCTGCCTCGGAATATTTGGCGAAGGTCCCCCAACCAAGCTCAATGTGCGAGATATTTGATGCAGTACGATTTGAAATGATGACCGAAGCTATTGTACTAAACTTGCAAAGCCTACCTTGAACAAGCTCTTCACTGCTGGGTCACTTGCAAAGATCATTATCCCATGAAAGTTCTCATGCTGAAGAGTGTTGAACATGGACGAACTAAATTAAAAAGGATTTTGGATGGACAATCAGCGGTGATGACACATCACTCACGCCAGACCCTCGCGCTAATGAGTTATCTGAAGAAGTGTCTTACCTCTCCTTGCAAGAGCTGTCATGTGAAACGATGCAGGTGCTGCAAAACCATTTTGTACGACATTTTGCAAGTGCAAAAAGTCTTGTGACAATCAGGAACATGTATAAAGTACTGAGAGATGAACTGTGAATACAATGAGTATCATAATATCTAAGCTATGACCATAATACTAAGGAAAAAAGTAAAAGTACCACGAGACTGATGGGACTGGGTCAGCGATAAAACAGGAAAGTATGATAAGAGGAGGAAATAAAATGAGTGATAAAGACATTGTGTGATATTGTCAAAAGTCGTCACGAGGATTTCATCTACGCTTGTGGGCCGCAGACGCCGGATGTTCATATATATGAGGAAAAAAATTTGGACAGAATATGTAGTAGGGGCATTAGGATAACTAAATACTGAAAACTAATTTGCCCGCTACATGGGCAGTGTTGAGTGTACTTGTTGGGTATTATAAAAAAATCTCATATGCATCAGCAAGTAAATAAGAGTAATTCTCAGTATTTATAATTAGGAATACAGTGGGAGACAATTTAAAACACTTCCGAAGAGACGAACAGCAACTTAACATAACATTAACAACGATTATCTTTTAACTACAAAGATCAGTGCTGAGTGAACTTATGGTTTTATTTTTTTTTATTTAGGAAATCAAGGGCTCCAGTATTATAGTAGTAAATGTTAGTATATAAATAATTAGGAAAAGAGGGAGAGAAACTTCTAACAACCTTAAGAGTTGTGTAGCCTAGCGTATATAAAGTGACCCCCCCCTCCCATTCTCAAAAATACACTGTCCATCTCTATCTTTCACCCCAATATAAATAAGTCATTTTGTCTGAGTTTTTATGTGTTATTCTAGGTCATTTACACTATGTAAGATAAATATCTTTGTAACGAACTGCTCGTAAAGTCATCAAACCATTTGTCTCCATTCTTCCTTTTAACATGATCATGCACGCTTGTTGCAATGCTAAGCGTAGCGCACGCGCACGCACGTACCCACGCACACACCTACACCCACAACCACATGCACACACACAAGAAGTCAGCAGAAGCTAAGACACAGTGATTAGAAGAGAAACTGAGAAACCTGAAACAGCTTAAAGAGTAAAATGACAGTATAGACAGAACATCAGGAACTTCTACATCAGGCACAGACATGGGGCCTGGAGGGAGCAAGGAAGCTATACTGTTTGCAAAGGTCCTGTCAGACCCACACGGGGCTAAGGCAAAGAAGAGGAGCACACTAGGAGCAACTGAGAGGTCTGAAGACAAGGAAGGAGCTATGATGTATGCAGGGACTCTAACAGACACCTGCAGTAGCCAGGAACAGCTGAGCAGGAAAGACAGACCAATGAGCAATGGGGCCTCAGCTAGGGAAGGGATTGAAGGAACACTCCAAGGGAAGGAACTAAAACACCTCAGAGGACGCAATGGGAGACACAGTGGAAGGAAGAAAGGGAGAGATCAGTTTTTGTCTATGGGCTCCAGGAAGCCGAAGGGAAAACCTAAGATGAAAGAAAACAGAAGACGAAAGTGATTGAAGGTATCATGAAAGGAATAGGTGATAGCACATGACCCAGGTGACAAATTTTCGGAGAAGTGGGTGGTTTGAAAGGGAAAGGAAGCGGCCTCTCAAAGTAATTTTCAAGGCACAATCAACTCGAACCATGATCCTGCAGGAGAAAGCACGACTGAGAGACAAACCGGGGTACCAGAGTGTGTACCTTGATCGAGACAGACACACGTGGAAGGGCAAACATACCCCCCAGAATCACCTGCAGAAGGACTACAACTGCTTCAAACCCAAGGCAACTGAACAATCTAAACCGACACTCACACACTGAACCCTCTGTCCCCAACCCCCACACCACAAACCCCACCCCTACAGCAATCCCCTAAGGAAACTCTTACCCCACCCCCATTGCAACCCCCCATTGGCCCCCATCATGGCTCCCGCTCCCCAACCCCAATATTCTCCCAGGACAACAGTTTTAGAAAAGAAGTTGAAGGTTTGGTAAACGAACGCAGATGGTATAACGAATAAATGTGAGGAGTGGCATGAAAAGATCAGTGAGAAGTCCCCAGACATCATAGCAGTCACAGAAACGAAACTCACTGAGACAATAACAGATGCAATCTTCCCACCAGGAAGATAGAAAGATAGAAGGAGCAAATGGGGAGGAGGAGTAGTCACTGCAGTGATATATAATCCACCACAGAACTGGAGGAGGACAAGAGAGGAATATGAAGAGAGCAACAGAGTTATGGTGGACACACTGGCTGAGGTGGCAAGAAGACCTCACTCGAGGAGAGCAAAGTTACTGGTTATGGGCGATTTCAACCACAGGGAGATCAATTGGGAAAACCTGGAACCACACTGGGGACCTGAAACATGGACAGCCAAGATGATGGATGTGCTACTGGAAAACATCATGCATCAACATGTTAAGGACACTACCAGAGAGAGAGAGGGAAGGATGAACCAACAAGACTGGACTTTGTATTCACCCTGAGCAGTTCAGACATTGAAGACATCACATATGAGAGGCCCCTCGGAGCTAGAGATCACATGGTTCTGTGCTTTGAATATATAGTAGAGCTAAAAGTTGATAGGTTAACAGGAGTTGAATGGTAAAAGCCAAACTATAAAAGGGGGGAGTACACAGGTATGAGGACTGGTAGGAAAACCAATAAACGAAATGATGGAATAAGTAACAACAAAATGGAAGGAAGCAGAGGAAAGGTTTGTTCCCAAGGGCAACAGAAATAATGGAAAGACCCAAAACTACTGTATAGCCACATCAGGAGGAAGACAACAGTCAAAGACCAGGCGATCAGGCTGAGGAAAGAAGGTGGGGAGCTCAACATGGGATTTAAGGAAGTATTTACAGTAGAGACAGGAAGAGCACTGGGAAGACAGAACAGAGAGCAACACCAACAGGGAATACCAACAAGTGTTGGATGACATACAACTGAGGAGAAGGTGCAGAAGCTTCTAAGGGACCTTGATACCTCAAAGGCAATGGGACCGGACAACATCTCCCCGATGGTCCTTAGAGAAGGAGCAGAGACGCTGTGTGTGCCACTAACCACAATCTTCAACACATCCCTTGAAACTGGGCAACTACTTGACGTATGGAAAACGGCAAATGTAGTATACATATTCAAGAAAGGAGACAGAAACGAGGCACTAAACTACAGACAAGTGTCACTGACATGTATAGTATGCAACGTCATGGAGAAGACTATCAGGAGGAGAGTGGTGGAGCACCTGGAACGGAATAAGATTATAAACGACAACCAGCATGGATTCATGGAAGGCAAATCCTGTGTCACAAATCTTCTGGAGTTTTATGAAAAAGTAACAGAAGTAAGACATGAGAGAGAGGGGTGGGTTGATTGCATTTTCCTGGACTGCAAGAAGGCTTTCGACACAGTTCATCACATGAGATTAATGCAGAAGCTGAAGGATCAGGCGCATGTAGCAGGAAGGGCACTGCAATGAATGAGAGAATGCCTATCAGGGAGGCAACAACGAGTCATGGTACGTGATAAGTTATCACAGTGGGCACCTGTGACGAGCTGGGTCCCACAGGGGTCAGTCCTATGACCAGTGCTATTTTTGGTATATGTAAATAACATGACGGAAGGAATAGACTCAGAAGTGTCCCTGTTTGCAGATGATGTGCAGTTAATGAGGAGAATTAAATCAGATGAGGGTCAGGCAGGACTCCAGAGAGACCTGGACAGGCTGGACAAGTGGTCCATGAACTGGCTACTTGAATTTAACCCCGCCAAATGCAAAGTCATGAAGACTGGGAAAGGGCAAAGAAGACTGCAGAGCAAAGGCTAGGTGACCAAAGACTGCAAACCTCACTAAAGGAGAAAGATCTTGGGGTGAGCATAACACAGAGCATGTCTCCGGAAGCACACATCAAACAAACAAAGTTTATTTCTTTGCAAGGTTACATTGAGATTATGAAATTACAATAAATGTGTTCAGTACAAAGAGCCACTGTCATGCCTAGGCATTATGGGCAGACTTATTTTAATGGTTTACATACTACTTAATACTAAAGAAATTGATCATAGTTTAAGTTATACATTTTCTTTGTTTATAGCAGACACTAGTTTTACTCTAATTACAATAGTTTCATTAATGAATATTGAAATTAAATTATGGGAATATAACATTGTGAGTTGTTGAAAGTAGTTAACAGTATGAGAATGTTACAGTTGGGTGTAAGACAGTATTGTTTTGGGTAGGTGTTTATAATACAATGTAGGATTAATAATGTATGAACTTTGGGAGTCTAGATTTGAAGTTTTAAGAGTTCGATAATTTATTGGTAGAGTTTAATACTGAGTATTTAGTTTAGAGTGAGTAGGTGGTTTTTGAGAAGAGCCTTAAACTGGTGTTCAGACCTGGTTACTTTACCTGGAGTTTACCTGGAGAGAGTTCCGGGGGTCGACGCCCCCGCGGCCCGGTCTGTGACCAGGCCTCCTGGTGATCAGAGCCTGATCATCCAGGCTGTTACTGCTGGCTGCACGCGATCTAACGTACGAGCCACAGCCCGACTGGTCAGGTACCAACTTTAGATGCTTGTCCAGTGCCAGCTTGAAGACAGCCAAGGGTCTATTGGTAGTCCCCCTTATGTATGCTGGGAAGCAGTTGAACAGTCTCGGGCCCCTGACACTTATTGTATGGTCTCTTAACGTGCTAGTGACACCCCTGCTTTTCATTGGGGGGATGGTGCATCGTCTGCCGAGTCTTTTGCCTTCGTTGTGAGTGATTTTCGTGTGCAAGTTCGGTACTAGTCCCTCTAGGATTTTCCAGGTGTATATAATCATGTATCTCTCCCGCCTGCGTTCCAGGGAGTACAGGTTCAGGAACTTCAAGCATTCCCAGTAATTGAGGTGTTTTATCTCCGTTATGCGCACCGTGAAGGTTCTCTGTACATTTTCTAGGTCAGCAATTTCACCTGCCTTGAAAGGTGCTGTTAGTGTGCAGCAATATTCCAGCCTAGATAGAACAAGCGACCTGAAGAGTGTCATCATGGGCTTGGCTTCCCTAGTTTTGAAGGTTCTCATTATCCATCCTGTCATTTTTCTAGCAGATGCGATTGATACAATGTTATGGTCCTTGAAGGTGAGATCCTCCGACATGATCACTCCCAGGTCTTTGACTCTGGTTTTTCGCTCTATTTTGTGGCCGGAATTTGTTTTGTACTCTGATGAAGATTTAATTTCCTCATGTTTACCATATCGGAGTAATTGAAATTTCTCATCGTTGAACTTCATATTGTTTTCTGCAACCCACTGAAAGATTTGATTGATGTACGCCTGGAGCCTTGCAGTGTCTGCAATGGAAGACACTGTCATGCAGACTCGGGTGTCATCTGCAAAGGAAGACACGGTGCTGTGGCTGACATCACATATGAAACGCCCCTCGGAGCTAGTGTTCACATGGGTCTGAGCTTTGAATACACAGAAGAGTTACAAGTGGAGAGGGTAACAGGAATAGGATGTGTAAAGCCAAACTACAAAAAGGGGGACTACACAGGCATGAGGAACTTCCTGCAGGAGGTTCATTGGGAAAGAGAATTGGTATGAAAATCAGTAAACAAAATGATGGACTACGTGACAAAAAAATGCAAGGAGGCAGAGGAATGATATGTTCCCTATGACAATAGAAATAATGGGAAGACCAGAACGAGTCCTTGGTTCACCCAAATGTGTAGGGAGGCAAAAGCTAAGTCAACTAGAGAATGGAAAAAGCACAGAATACGAAGGACCCAGGAAAACAAAGAGATTAGTCGAAGTGCCAGAAACGAGTATGTACAGATAAAGAGGGAGGTGCAGCGACAGTATGAAAACGACATAACATCGATAGTCAAGTGTGACCCAAAGCTGTTGTATAGCCACATCAGAAGGAAAAGAACAGTCAAGGACCAGGTAATCAGTTTTTGGACCAAGTGTGATCCAGTAACTGGTTCCTCGAATTTAACCCTGTCAAATGCAAAGTCAAGAATAACGGGGAAGGGCAAAGCAGATCGCAAACAAAGTATAGGCTAGGTGACCAAAGACTACAAACCTCACTCAAGAAAAAGATCTTGGGGTGAGTATAACACCGAGCACATCTCCTGAGGCGCACATCAACCAGATAACTGCTGAAGCATATGGGCGCCTAGCAAACTTGAGAATAGAGTTCCGATACTTTATTTAGGAATCATTCAAGACTGTACACCGTGTACGTCAGTTTAATATGTTTATTATGCACCCCATACCCATCCTGTGGGCGGTAGTCTAAAGATTACAGAGGTACATAACAAACGAGTATGTCAGGCCCATTCTGGAGTATGCAGCACCAGTTTGGAACCCACACCTGGTCAAGCACGTCAAGAAATTAGAGAAAGTGCAAAGGTGTGCAAGAAGACTAGTCCCAGAGCTAAGGGAAATGCCCTACGAAGTAAGGTTAAGGGAAATCGGCCTGACGACACTGGAGGACAGGAGGGTTAGGGAGACATGATAACGACATATAAAATAGTGAGAGGAATTGACGAGGTAAACAAAGACAGGATGTTCCAGAGATGGGACACAGAAACAAAGGGTCACAACTGGAAGTTAAAGATTCAGATTAGTCAAAAGTATGTTAGGAAGTATTTCTTCAGTCACAGAGTTGTCAGGAAGTGGAATAGTTTGGGAAGTGATGTAGTAGAGACACGTACCTCATATAGGTTTAAGCCGATGTTTGATAAAGCTCATGGAGCAGGGAGAAAGTGATTTAGTAGCGATCAGTAAAGAGGCGGGGCCAGGAGCTATGAATCGACCCCTACAACCACAAACAGGTGAGTAAAAATAGGCGAGTACACACACTCTCCCTCTCTCTTCCTCTCTCCCTCTCTCTTCCTCTCTCCCTCTCTCTTCCTCTCTCCCTCTCTCTTCCTCTCTCCCTCTCTCTTCCTCTCTCCCTCTCTCTTCCTCTCTCCCTCTCTCTTCCTCTCTCCCTCTTCTTCCCCCCCTCTCTCTCTCTCTCTTCCTCTCCCTTTGTCCCCTCTCTCTCTTCTCCTCTCTCTCTAAATATAGATGTATCTGGCAAATGTCTTAGGATTTTTTTCATACATCTTGAAACCGGATCCACAACCGACTCATTTAAAGAGAAGACTTCTGTAGTTTATCCAGAAGGAAGAACCAGTGGTTTTAATTATAAGACATGTGGATTACTTACATGACTTTTGGGATCTTTATGTAACAAGTTAGTTTACTTACTTTATAAAAAGCTTACATGACTTATTGACTAATATGTGTGATGAATGGTTTGAAAAACCGACAAGTTGAAGATTGAGACACTTATGCAGCATATGGGAATCTTTATTCAGGAAACGTTTCGCCACACAGTGGCTTCATCAGTCCAATACAAAGAGGACTGAACACATCGACTCCAGGTTGAGGGACTGATTACCTCATTCTCCTCCTCTCCTTACGCCTTCCTCTTTGTATTGGACTGATGAAGCCACTGTGTGGCGAAACGTTTCCTGAATAAAGATTCCCATATGCTGCATAAGTGTCTCAATCTTCATTGACTAATATATATGACTTGTAAAGTATGTTTAAATAAATTGTGATGTGTACCTGGTCGAATGTAGGCGTTGAGCGTCAGATCTCTGTAGGCTCGTCGTAGGTCTCTGACCTCTCCTGTGCCCATCACCAACACCTGCGAAAATATTACGATTGTTATTAATTCTACACCACATATAAGGACCTACACTTCACACTACCACATGCACTCAAACCATGTACATATGGTTCCCGTCCCCGCTCACTAATTCCAGTCCACAGCCCCTATGGCCATCCCTGCTTGCCATAGTTAGTGCCATCCATCACAACCAGTGCCATTATGCCAACAGTATACCAATTCCCACATTCCATGCCATCCATATATATATTTCAACATTCTTCTTCCCCCCCTGTGATACTACATGTCATATAAATACATGAGAGGTATAGAGATCACTGCTTGTGGGACACAAATTATACACTAAACACCAAGAATAACATATTTTTGTAATTATTATTATTTGGATTATTATTATTTATCTGTATTACAAAATTTTATTATATATAAATTATTAGTGGTATAATTCTGTGCAAAGATGGCAAGAAGTCCACTGATGTCATATAATTTCCACAGAACGAATGATAATATTGTGACGTGAAAGAGAAGTCATGCAATTTCGATTTCATGCTACATTATGTGACATGTAACCTGTGCAGTGTTACTGCATGTTAGTACTTCTTTAAAGTTTACTAAGCAGAAGTTATTGATTATCAGGTGCTATGCTTGGCTCACTCAGGTCATTGTGTATCAGGTGCTATGCTAGCTTGGCTCGCTCAGGTCATTGTTTATCAGGTGTTATGCTAGCTTGGCTCTCTCAGGTCATTGTGTATCAGGTGCTATGCTAGCTTGGCTCTCTCATGACATTGTTTATCAGGTGCTATTCTAGCTTGGCTATCTCAGGTCATTGTTTATCAGGTGCTATGCTAGCTTGGCTCTCTCAGGTCATTGTTTATCAGGTGCTATGCTAGCTTGACTCTCTCAGGTCATTGTTTATCAGGTGCTATACTAGCTTGGCTCTCTCAGGTCATTGTTTATCAGGTGCTATGCTACCTTGGCTCTCTCAGGTCATTGTTTATCAGGTGCTATGCTAGCTTGGCTCTCTCAGGTCATTGTTTATCAGTGGCTATGCTAGCTTGGCTCTCTCAGGTCATTGTTTATCAGGTGCTATGCTAGCTTGGCTCTCTCAGGTCATTGTTTATCAGGTGCTATGCTAGCTTGGCTCTCTCAGGTCATTGTTTATCAGGTGCTATGCTAGCTTGGCTCTCTCAGGTCATTGTTTATCAGGTGCTATGCTAGCTTGACTCTCTCAGGTCATTGTTTATCAGGTGCTATGCTAGCTTGGCTCTCTCAGGTCATTGTTTATCAGGTGCTATGCTAGCTTGGCTCTCTCAGGTCATTGTTTATCAGGTGTTATGCTAGCTTGGCTCTCTCAGGTCATTGTTTATCAGGTGTTATGCTAGCTTGGCTCTCTCTTTTGTAATGTTTCGGACATAAGACAAGAGAGTTGTTCTTGATAATTGAACTATGTATTTACGTACTTAACCCACTTCTCGAGGATTTCCTATACAACTGGTTCTTTCTGTATACCGATCTCTCACTAAGAGATTGCTGACAGTTAGGTGGTGATATTTTATGTCTATAGTGCTTGTCAAAATAGCAAGTTTTACCTATTCGGCATGACACACACACACACACATACACACACACACACACACACACACACACACACACACACACACACACACACACACACACACACACACACACACACACACACACACACACACACACACGTCAAGCACGTCAAGAAGTTAGAGAAAGTACAAAGGTTTGCAACAAGGCTAGTCCCAGAGCTCAAGGGAATGTCGTACGAGGAAAGGTTAAGGGAAATCGGACTGACGACACTGGAGGACAGAAGGGTCAGGGGAGACATGATAACTACATACAAGATACTGCGGGGAATAGACAAGGTGGACAGAGATAGGATGTTCCAGAGAGGGGACACAGGGACAAGGGGTCACAACTGGAAGCTGAAGACTCAGACGAGTCACAGGGACGTTAGGAAGTATTTATCCAGTCATAGAGTTGTCAGCAAGTGGAATAGCCTAGCAAGTGAAGTAGTGGAGGCAGGAACCATACATAGTTTTAAGAAGAGGTATGACAAAGCTCAGGAAGCAGAGAGAGAGAGGACCCAGTAGCGATCAGTGAAGAGGCGGGGCCAGGAGCTGAGTCTCGACCCCTGCAACCACAATTAGGTGAGTACAATTAGGTGAGTACACAACACACACACACACACACACACACACACACACACACACACACACACACACACACAAGGAAGGAAGGTAGAAGAGCTTGGCAAGAAAATGGAGGAGAGGATAACTGAAGAGAGCAGGAACTGGGGGCTTCCAGTCTTAGCAGCAGAAGATAAGATACAGTGAATAGATGAGGAACTAAAAAACCTGAAACAAACTAGAGAGACAAATTACAGTACAGACATGACATCAGGAACTTCTATATCAGACACAGACAAGAGGACTGTAGGGACCCAGCAAAGGACTAGGAGCACACTAAGATCAAATGAGAGGACTGAAGACAATAAAGGAGCTATGCTACATGAAGGGACTCTAACAGACAACTGCAGTGGCGAGGAACATCTGAGCAAGAAAGACAGTCCACTGAGCATAGGGGCTTCAGCAAGGGCAGGGACTGAAGGAACTAAAACAGAGGATGCAAAGGGAGGCACAGTGGGTGGAAGAAAGAGAGAGGTCAGTGTTTGTCTGTGGGCTCCAAGAAGTAGAAAGGGAAATCTACGATGAGAGAAAACAGGGGGGAGAAGAAAGTGACTGAAGGTATCATGAAAGCAATAGGTGAAGACAACATGACCCATGTGGCAAATTTTCGGAGAATTGGGTGGTTTACAAGTGGAAGGAAACGGCCTGTCCGAGTAATTTTCAAGGCATAATCAGCTGGAACAAGGATCCTGCAGGAGAAAGCACGACTGATTAACAAACCAGAGTACCAGAGAGTGTGCCTCGTTTGCAACAGAACAAAAAAAGAAAAGATGACACTGAGAGAGAGGGTACAAATACGAAAGGAGGAACGAGATGCAATGATGAAAATGAACAGAACCCAGACTCAGGTGGAAGGGCAAACACACCCTACAGAAACACCCACAGAAGGACTCCAACCACGACAACCCCAAGGCAAATGAACAATCTAAACCAAAACTCACACATTGTTCACTCTGCCCCCACATCACAAACCCCATCCCTACAGCAGCCCCCTATGGGTACTTTGCCCTCACCCCCATCACAAACCCCACCCATACTGCAAACCCCATAGGCCCCCTCCAGGGCTCCTGCTCCCCCATCCCCAATATTCTCCCAGGACCACCGTGATACATAAGAAGTTAAAAGTTTGGTACATGAACACTGATGGAATAACAAATAAATATGAGGAGTGGCATGAAAGAATCAGTGAGAAGTCCCCAGACATCATAGCAGTCACAGAAACGAAATTCACTGAGACAATAATAGATGCAATCTTCCAACGGAGATATCAGATCTTGAGGAAAGATAGAACGAGCAGAGGGGTAGGAGGGGTTGCACTGCTCATAAAAAGCAATGGGGTTTGGAAGAAATAGAAGGCATGGACGATATTGGAGAAAGGGACTACATAATAGGTACAATTCAGTCTGGGGAACAACAGGTAGTCATTGCAGTGATGTATAACCCACTACAGAACTGCAGAAGGCCAAGAGAGGAATATGAAGAGAACAATAGAGCAATGGTAGACACACTGGCTGAGGTGGCAAGAAGAGCTCACTCGTGCAGAGCAAAGTTACTGGTTATGGGTGATTTCAACCACAGGGAGATCGATTGGGAAAACCTGGAGCTTCGTGGGGATCCTGAAACATGGAGAGCCAAGATGATGGATGTGGTACTGGAAAACCTCATGCATCAACACATCAGGGACACTACCAGAGAGCGAGAGGAGGATGAACCAGCAAGACTGGACCTTGTGTTCACTCTGAGTAGCTCAGACATTGATGACATCACATATGAGAGGCCCCTCGGAGCTAGTGACCACGTAGTCCTGAGTTTTGATTACATACTAGCATTACAGGTGGAGAGCGTAACAGGAGTCGAATGGTAAAAGCCAAACTATATGAGGAACTTCCTTTAGGAGGTTCAGTGGGACAGAGAACTGGTAGGAAAGTTAGTAAACGAAATGATGGAATATGTAATAACAAAATGCAAGGAGGCAGAGGAAAGGTTTGTTCCCAAGAACAGCAGAAACAATGGGAAGACCAAAGCGAGTCCTTGGTTTACCCGAAGGTGTAGACAGGCAAAAACCTAAGTGCACTAGACAATGGAAAAGGTACAGAAGGCAAAGAACTCAGGAAAATGAGGCGATTAGTCGAATAGCCAGAAACGAGTATGCACAGATAAGGAGGGAGGCCCAGTGACAGTACGAAAACGACATAGCATCGAAAGTCAAGTTTGACCCGAAACTGCTGTATAGCCAAATTAGGAGAAAGACAACAGTCAAAGACCAGGATATCAGGCTGAGTAAAGAAGGTGGGGAACTCAGAAGAAACGATCAAGAAGTATGCGAGGAGCTCAATGCAAGATTTAATAAAGTATTTACAGTGGAAACAGGAAGGACTCTGGGGAGAGAGGACAGAGGGGTACACCAACAAGGAATACACCAACAAGTGTTGGGTGACATACACACACCTGAGGACGAGGTGAAGAAGCTGCTAAGTGATCTTAATCCCTCAAAGGCAATAGGACCGGACATCTCCCCATGTGTCCTTGGAGAGGGAGCAGAAACGCTGTGTGCCACTAACTACAATCTTCAACACATCCCTTGAAACTGGGCAACTACCTGAGGTATGGAAGACTGCAAATTTAGTTCCCATTTTTAAAAAAGAGACAGAAAAGAGGCACTAAACTACAGACCAGTGTCGCTGACGTGTATAGTATGTAAAGTCTTGGAGAAGATTATCAGGAGGAGAGTGGTGGAGTACCTGGAACGGAACAAGAGTATATACGACAACCAGCATGGATTCATGGAAGTCAAATCCTGTG